TAAAACACCAAACGCGTTGAAACCAATATCAAATTCCTCCACGAAGTTCCTTTCACCCTTTATTATAAGCGTATATCTGCAACCAAAATCCCTTTCTCCCCGTCTGATACTTAACATGTCTTAACGCTTGTACACCGAACAAAATTGTCTTCCATGTATATCCCACCTGATTCTCGATGGTACCTATCATAAATCTCAACTACCTACCATACTCATTTATTTCCAGAATCTTATCCATTCGTATTCCCAGCAAGTTATTCCTTTTCTTAATCCCAACTCACTTCAATCTTTTAGCTCCTTGGTTTTGATTGAAGGAATCTAATCATAACATGACCATATCTAATATCCTTAATCACCTAAGGCTTTCGGCTATACAACAGTTCATATTCTCAGTCACCCCTTTCTTTTCCTATGCTTTTTCCTTCTTCCCCTTACACGTATCAAATATGCTGCACACCTAACCTATCGCATTCACTTTTACTACTTCTGCCATCCTATTATCCACAATCTCCCATCAAACAGTTGAAAACACTCCCTGACAAGAAATCTTGTAAAATCCCGAATTATTCATACCGTCTTTCAATCATCTCCGCTAATTCTTGTTCAATAAGTACCACTCCCTTGAACCATTTCCCGACTTGTCTCTCTTCCTCTAATTTTCATAACCATTTTTGCTACCATGTACTATCACACAACCAAGAGAGTAATCGTCTGAAATAAATATATAATATATCAATAAATCTATATATTAATATAATCATCATAATATAATATATATATATATACATACATATACAGTTGCTAATACCTTTTTAATTGCTAATACCAATAAATATATATTGCTAATACCTTTTTCAGGAAAAAAGAAATACACAAGTTCACCTGGAGTGCTAGAGGCCTCAGATCACTGATAGATTATGTAATCGCAAATGATAACATTAGTAACCAAATAGAGAATGTACAAGTACACTGAGGATGTGATATATATTCAGATAAGAAAGATATTTGACAATATTTTATTTTCATTTTCAAATTGTAATGCAATGTAAATAAGCACACTGTAAAATATATTAATGTTATTTCAATCGAAAACAGATTCCGAAAATGTTAAAAGTATTTTAATACCACGAGAAACGATGCTGATGAGAAGAAAAAATATCATTTTGAAACGTTCTTGATGTTTAGGAATCATAAATGCTGATTTTTTTATTACGAGTACATTGATTTCCTTCACCATATCATTTTAAAAAACTCATCCAATATATTCCTCACTTTCTGAATATTAATGAAGAGATTCTTATTACTCACCGACCTCAGAAATTGCTAGACGAAGGACCCCTCCTGAAAGTTTCTTGGGTGACTCACCTAAAAACAAGAACACACAATACAGTTACATAGATAAGATTTTAAACGATACTTTCATAACTGGTGTGTGCATACAAAAAATTGAGTTTCTTTGCATTTACAATCACATGTCTTGGTGCGCAACAAAGAGAACCACATTTAATCCATTATTTTTTCATACATTTTTCAGGATTCATAGATAGTATTATTTATTTAACCTTTAATAAACAATCAATTTGAAATGCTGGACAAACAATTCAACCAATAAAAAAAGCATATAGAAAAAATCGAATTTCTACATTTTTAAATTCAAACAAACTACAGAAGTTGCTTCAGCAGTCAGTTATTATTATTTGAGAATCTTCAGTATCATTTACATTTTGCAACTTTTTTTACCTGTTCGTCCGAATGAAATCATCTTTCTGAAGTATCAACTTTCGCTACAAATGTTTTATAAATGGAAGTATAAATTCTCAGAGTTACCAGAATATAGTGTAATGTTAGTGTGGAGACATGTTGAATGGAAGAACTGAGAGCATGTTACATCAAATGTGACATGTCTAAACAAAAAATAGTGAAGTAATTACGTTATATAACTGTCAGGAGGAGATAACAGAAACATTTCTAGAAGATAATTGGTGAGATGAAGCGTGTTGGAGTAGAGTAATAGAGAATTAACAAAAAGAGAAGGAAAAAGTAAACAGTGGACGGATATGTTGGCATTTTCGAGAATATCAAGAAAATTTAATAAAAGTATAACTTACTAATGAAAGGACCATCTGGAAACAAGTGAAGAACCATAATAAAAATTAATAGCCCATAATGTAACGTGTTTTGAGGTGAAATATAGTGGTAAAATAGAGGCTAGTAAAATTGCCGCAATTAACATTTTTTGTGCAAATATTCAGACAAAAAAGAGTTACTGTTCAAAGGGGCATGACAAATGGAAAAGAGACAAAGATAAAAGAATTAGAGCCGTCTCTGATGACAGAAAACTAGGAAAGGAAGGGAGAAAAGGATGAATGGCAACAGAATCAGCGACTGAACAAGACGCGTGGGCTGGAAAAGAGTGCGGAAAAGACAAAAGAAAGAAAACGATACCTGGCGAGAGCTGATAGCGTGAACGAGTGGTTAAACCACGAAGGAACAGAGGGGGAAGAGCGAGCAGTGAGGAGAAAAGAACAGGACGGAGAAAGAGCAGAAGCGGTTATCATAACGAAACGTACGTACTATTTCAGCACCGCTAGTAAAATAGTACGTACTTTCTCGCCCCTAATTTAACGGAAAATTACGCGAAAAGTACTCAAATCTTCGAAAAATAGCACATGTCCTTATTTCAAAATCATTCTTTAAGGAATAGATTTTATTAGGGCACAGAACTCTATCTTCAAAATTGTAGCTGTAGGAATACACCGAAAAAATGTTGCACTTTTGCAACTTTCGAAAAAAATCGGTTTTCAACTTAAGACCTACACTATTCACTTAAACGTCTTTCACACAACCCCCAACAAAATTTAATCAGAAACAATGGAGCCATTTTTTTCAATTTGGAAAATGTTCCAGGGGATTAATGGAAAGTACTCCCCCAAAAAGATCGGTTTCACATTCACGAGGCCGCGACTTCAGCCAAAACGATTGAATAATATCAATTTTGGAGAAAAGCGCATGAACTGTTTAGTCGCTAGCGTTCTTCACAGATGGACAGACAGATGTTTTTCTGTCATTCGATTTTTCGGTTTCAAGGTCCCATAAAACTGGATGACTACATCACGTGTTAGAGGATTGTTTTATAAATTTAGCAACTGAATTTATCCATTATTATGGTCAGGCAGAAGATCAGGCTAAATGGTCTGAGCCTCGCCATCAATAAATACATTTATTTATTTGTTTACTCATTTATTTTTTATCCACTTTTTCGATACTAAGGCCCTGTGATAAAGATTTTCCAGCTAAAAGTCGCCGTTTCTTTCGCACAGCATTACGTAACTTTTTCTCTACTCTGAGCGAGGAAGTCGCAAAATGAGCCAAAAGAAAGATGATGCAGGAAGAATGCTATTGATATGATTAAGGTTGCAGCTATCACTGGAGGGAATGAAGCGAAAGAGCTGTGGACAAGAATTGTAGTGAGAAGAGGGGGTGGGAGTGAGCAGGAAGGCGTGAGTGAGAAGGCAGGCGAGAGAAGGCTGGCGAGGGAGAGGGAGCGAGGGAGGGGGAGCGAGGGAGAGAAGGCCGAGAGAGAGAAGGCTGAGGGAAAGAAGAACGAAGGAAATGAAGACAGGGAAGAAGAGGGTGGTGAGAGGGAAGGGGAAAGGGAGGGGGAAGGTGGAGACGGCGGGGGCGAGGGCGAGGGG